CAACCAGTGGCCCCTCGAAATTTGAATGGCCCAAAATTATAATTACCAACCGATTTTTATGGGCCAATCTAGTTTTGATAAACTGTACCTAGCTATTATATACATATTCTATTCGTGTGCATCATGCAGTTTAATCTCTCCGGTTGCATTAGTAACCGCATCAATCGAGAACAGCTGTTCGACAAATTTTTTTTCTTAAACGTTCGTCATATTCCCATTGAAGTTTTTAGCGGAGACAATAAATGCCGTGTGGCGTCCTTTTAAATGTAAAAACTTGAAAAAAATGAAGACTAAATGCTGGACTGACACAGACTATAATTGTACATGATAGCTGTGAGTTGTTGATATTAATATAGTTATAAATGAGACGATGMAGTACGGAAAAYTCRGAGGGCCGAATTTCTCTAATCCGGCCCTACATATAAGGAAAGTCTACAAATTGAATTCGATCAATCACAATATTATAATATATACTCTGCAATGTACCTACCTGTTTATATTATTAGTAATAATAGGGTTGGGATTTATATGTAAATATATATTTTCCCTGTGATTAATTAATAATAATTTTATTTAGACAATTGATAAATTCGTTTCAATTATGGTTAGTACTAAAATAACCCATACTTTGATTTTGATAAAATGTTATAATTCGCATATTTTTRAATGTTTCTCAAAAAATCCGCTTTCCCTAAAAGTTTGCATAATTTTTATAATATACTATTGATTGTCAACTATATAAACTTGTAACGTAATTTTATATTTCCAAAAGTACGTGTACAAAATAATAAGAGTCATGAAATTTAATRTATCAATATAGCTAGGTTAGGTTAGGTTTTTATCAGTGGCGAAGCGTCATAGGAGACAAAGAGACAGCGTCTCCCCACTTAGAAATTAGAACACGGGACAAACAAATAATTATTTTGTTTTATTTAATATTAGAAAATGTGAATTTTATTTAATATCATAAAATAAAATATGATGTATAATATGTTTCAGTATTTATTAAAATCGATTTTTTGTTGTAGTGTAGAAGCGCKCGATACGGMCGTGCGTACGAGCTGTCGATACGGGTCTTTCCAAATATGGTATTATATCTAATAGACGAGACGTTGCGACGCAAATTTCRAGTATCATGGTACACAAAATATGCGTGGTTAGCTGGAAGTGAAAATCTAGGTAAATTATTTTGTTATTATTGTCTACTGTTCCGGAGAGAAAAACATGGGGAAATGATAGTATTTCTGTTATGAAAAATTTTGATCGTAAAGCATCTAAACATGCAATAAGTAAAACAAATTTAATTTCCCAAGAACAATTTATGTTACTTAGGGCAAATCGGATTGAACATGCACTGTCGGAAGGACGTCGTTTGGCTGCAATTAAACATAATGAAAATGTCGGTGTTAATAKTCGAATATTAACACGTTTAATACATGTTGTTTGTTTTTTGAGAAAGCAAGAAATAGCTTTTCGTGGTCATAAAGAAGATAGTTCTTCTATAAATAAAGGAAATTATTTAGAACTTTTAGATTTACTTTCTCGAGAAGAGCAACTGCTCAGAGAACATTTTATGTCGAGTTCAGTTTTTAAAGGAACATCAAGCCCAAGCGATATTCAAAACGATTTAATTTCCTGTATTACTAGTGTGTTAAAAACTAAAATTTCAAATGAATTACAAAAAGCAAATTTTATTTCTATTCAAGCTGACGAAACAACAGATGTATCGTGTAAATCTCAAATGAGCATTATATTTAGATATGTAGTTGATAACAAAATTAAAGAGAGGTTTATAGGATTTTTCGATGTATCAAAAGATAAATCTTGYTTTTTTGGCCTATCTGAAATTTTATTAACAGAAATAAAAAATTGGAATATAGGTGATAAAATAGTGTGTCAAACATATGACGGAGCAGCTGTTATGGCAGGGCAAAAKAATGGAGTTCAAGCTATTATTAAACAGTCGTATCCAAAAGCAATGTTCATACATTGTTATGCTCACCAACTTAACCTAGTGTTTCTACACGGATCAAAATCGATAAAATCTGTACAAATATTTATAAGTGATTTGACTATGTTTCATACATTTTTTAGTAGATCGCCAAAAAGGAGTCAGCTTTTAAGGGAAAAGGGGTTTAAACTTCCTCAAAGTTRTGAAACGAGGTGGAATTATCACTCYAGAGCTGCTGCAACTATTACTACCCATTTTATAGAATTGAAAAAAGCGATAACTTGTGTAACAGACTAAGACGACTGGGATCCAATAACTATAAATATGGCATATGATTTATTGCATAAGCTATCAAATCTTAAATTTGTTTATTTACTTTGTTTAAAAAACTATTTTTATATATAAATYATGTATTTTTAATACTACAGACTAAATATACTGCCGATGTTCAATATTGTGTCAATCAAATAAAAATATTTTCTGATCAATTAATTGCAATGAGAAAAGAGGAAACTATATATCAATATGTTGTAAATCGGCGATGGCGTTAAATAGCGAACTACAATATTCAGAAATCTAACTGGCGAAACACAATTTTATACCTTAAAGAAATTGAATTGTATAACAGCATATAATAAGTTTGTTTATTTGTAATACTTGTTTTTAATTG